ATATTATTAATTTTATATTTACTTTCCTTTTTGCAACCTTCCAAATAACATTTCTAATAAAAAACATTTAGAAATTTTCAATGGAAAATTGAAAAACGAAAATATATTTATGTAATATGATTTCATTAAAAAGGAAAGTTCACAAAATAGTAATATTCTATCAATAAAATATTATAAATATATTAATAAGACTTATATTTAAATAGTATTATTAATTTTTTATTTAGTTTCCTTTTTAAAAATTTCCAACTAACATTTATAATAAAAAAGAAAACATTTATAAAATTTAAAAGAAAAAATTACAAACGAAAATATATGTTTGTATAATAAGATTTCATTAAAAAGGAAAACTTAGAAAATATTAAAATCCATTAAAAATATTTTAAATAACATAAAATATAATTTTAAATTAGTAAAATAATTTCTTTATATCTATATTTTCTTATATGAATATATATATATATATATATATATATATATATATATAATGTGATTTCATAACAAACAATTCATACATATAATTTTGATATTTGAAAAAAATTTATTTCTTTTAAACATAATTTTAAGTAACATAAATAGGTATATGTTTTTTATTGACTAAAATAGTTTTTAATTAAATTGAATTTTTTTTTATTTTGCACATTTTTAGTTGACTATAATATCTTTCAACTAAATAAATAATATCTATAAATTAAAATTTACTTATATAATATGAATTCTCAAATAAAACCACAATTTTTTACTGCTTATTTTTAAGAGAGCTCAAAAATTTAATTTTTTAACAAGAAACATCTTTTGATCAAATAATTACAAAATATATTAAAATATCATATCACTATATACTTTAACGAGATAGATATGTTATATTCTATCATTATTAAAATTATATGTTTTCTTAATATTAAAGTTGTTTTAAATTTTATGTTTGTGGATCTTAATATAACCATAATAAAAATACCAAAAAAATCTGAATTCTCATTTTAAGATTATTTAAAATAATTTCAGTTTACCATTCAATAAATCTAAGACATAAAATTATTTAGAATTTATAAAATATTTTGGTTATTGTAAATATTGATATGTGTTCATGAATCTCCAAAAAAAAATATCAGTTACTTATGTATATAACATTCTACTGATTATTGATTTATTTTCTAATTTTTTCAAGTAAATATATAATTTGATAAATATAATACAAATACATGCACATTTAAATGATAAATAATATTAATTTTATTTTACTTAATTACAATAAAAAATATACTTTAGTTAGAATTTAACTCAATATACACACAATATGAGTGGCTTGACTAATCCAACTTATATCTAAAATCATTGATTTAACTATAATAAGAATATATAATTTTCTAATAATAATAATTTATTTTATATATACAAATTATAGGATGACGCAAAACATATTAACAAATGAAAATAAAGTATTAACCAACTGTTACAAATTAGTTATTTTGTGAAATTTATATATATGCATGAGACTTCAAAGATTGTCTTTATATCAACTGATGTAATTTGAAAAAACACTTTAGTTTATTTTTTTTATTTCATTATAAGCACAATATATCTTAAATTATAAATAATTCTTCTTTATATTTACATATATAAGACAACAAAAAACCTAAAAGCAAATAATAAAATTAATCAAAATTTTAATATATTTAGAATACAATTGTTATAGTTGAATTCAGAGAAATAGATGTAATCTAATATATTCAAATAATAATAGCTAAATCGACTATCAAAATAATAAATCGACTAGATATAACATTTCTAAAATAATATATCTAATTAAAGTAATATAGTATTATCAATATAAATCATAGAAATTAATTTAAAATTAAAGATAAATAGCAATCAATTATTATAGTATATTTACTTAATAATATTTATATCCGTGCATGAGCACGGGAAAATCACCTAGTAACTAAAACAAAAGGAAAACATGTTAGAGTTTATAGTAATATATACATTAATTTGTTTTTATCATATCGTGCTAGTAATTATATATCTTATCACCAACTTTTGACTTTTCAGTTAGCTTTAATTTCATTACAAAGACATGAAAGAAGAACGAAATAGCACGACAATTATATGATTGTGATTACATCTTGCGCAGAAACCTTATTGTTAAAAGGTAAGATTTTGAGGGAGGATTGTTATAAATTCTGCATTACTAGTCTGGATTCCATGGGACAGATTTTTATAAAAGAAAAATCGATTTTCTGGTGATAACATCCTGCTGATCTAGGTTGGTCCTGCAGGACATCGACCCTAATCTTTCACATGTGAATATTTATTGACTTTCCACGTAAATTATTAGTATACTTAGTGTTTTTGTAATCCAAGACTTTTCTTTAATAATCTCTGCATATGATAAATTTTCACCAATTGACATAAATATTAATTGGTGATAACTTATCATATAAAAAAATTGTTAAGAGTGAGTATTCACTTGTGAAGATTGAGTTCGATACCCTGTAAGAACAACCTATGTCCACAGAACAGAGCCACATCTTATTTTTCTCTTCTACCAAATTACAGTCTAATTTCATATGCATTCTTACAATTAATTACAAGGCTCCACGAGCATCTGTGAACATTAGGCATTTGTTGCACAAATATGTTATTTAGCTCTATACTCTTGTTATGTAGATGTGTGATCACACTATCATATATATGAATGATTAGGAGCTGAGTGATCAGAAGGAATGAAATGTCATCTTTTTGGGTTTTATACTCATGTTATCCATCTACAATATTACAGATTTGGAAAGAGTGATTCACGTGTGGTATTGATAGCAAATCAACAGATAGCCGAGCAGCACCGATAGTTCAATGCATCAATCCTTGGCACAAAAAGATTCATAACAGATATGTATATCATTTATGCAGGATAGAAAGTTTAATGAATAACTTTTTTTCCATTGGAAATATATTCAAACTTATGCTTCAACAAAAATTTTACTTTTCAAAATATCTTTAAAAATCTAAAAGATAATTATTTTCATAAATACTTTAAAATTTTTGACTAAAAAAATTAAACTAATCTTCTCATATCATTTATATATATTTAAGAATGATTTATAAAACATTTACAAATACAACTTCATCTCCCAAATATTAAATCTTAAACAATAATCACTAAATTATAGATCCAATTGTTAGCGTATTTTCCATTGAATTAATGTATATTTGAAAATTGATAGCCAACTTAGAGTATTTAGACTTTTTCTCATTTGTTTTTGTCATGACTACTAGGTGAAAGTAATAATAACTCGTGAGTGCATTGTTCCCATATAATTTACTCATGGATCCTTGCTTAGAATGTTGGGTACTTTATCTGAATCAATTGGTTGACTTGTTTAAGCCACCTGACCATCCATGATCCATCAGTCACGCTATCCAACGATCGGAATATCTCATCAGCCTTCACTCGCCAAACTGGTAGGACTTTTTATGATCGGTTTTCAACACTTAAATTTACCAACATTTTTTGGTATGAATATTAAGAATAAATCTACCAACATACCAGTAAAGATTTAACTTTACATGATTTGTCTAAATTTAAACAACCTAAATATAGTACTACGCTTAATATGAATTTGTCTATATTTAGACTACCTCAATATAATACTACGCTTAATATGAACTAGAACTTCATCCGCACCTCCGTGCGGGTGTTTGATTTAACTTATGTTCAATGTAAATTTATAAACTGGCTGATTTTATAAAAAAAAAAAAAATTTATGCTTTGTTACTTACATATAAAATAGAATATATTTTTATAATTTAATAATAATTTTTTATTTGTACATAATAATATTAGCAATTTTATAACTTGATGCAATTTCATGTAATTGTACTATTCATATATTAATATGTTGTTTTTTGTTTGATACTTTTTTTAAATAAACAACATCAAATTCATTTTTTACATTAGTTATTTATCAATTATCACTAATTTTATGATATTTTATTTTCTTGAATATTGAACTCCCAAAATTTTATATTTGAAAATTAAATAAGATAATACTATATATAAACAAATATTTTATATAATATATACTATATTTAAGTTCGTATTTTTATTTTCACCACCAAAAAAGAAACACTATTGTAATATTTTAATTTAAGCTGATTTTAAATGTAATGACAGAAACTGTAAATAAAAATAAATACATAAAGAAATAATTTATTTTATTATAAATGTAATGATTAAATATGTAAATAAAAGAAAGAACTTAATTTATTATCTTTGTTTCCAAATAATTTTCTTTTTTTCTACTATTTTTATTTTCAGACAGTACCAAAACATACTTCAGTTATTTAATAATATAGATTACACATCACGTTAGCTAATGCGTTTATGTTAATAATCAATCCCAATTCCCAAACATATTAAACCGAGGGAATATTTTACTAATTGACTTTTCCCCTTATAGTTTTTTTTTGTTTTTTTTTTCGAATCTGTATATAGTGGACTTATTATTAGAGCATATAGAAGAGGCCCAGTATTTCAATAGATTAATTCTTTCATAAGGCCCATTATACGAAAAAGTACAATATTCTTTTGTAGGAAATAATTTTTTTTTTAAAGGATAAAGTCAAACAAACAAGCACCAAATCAAATGCCATTTTGCCTTAGGAAAAGAAGGAAATCAAATGACATTTTGCCTTTAAAAAGACGGAAATCAAATGCCTTGTAAGACTTTCAATCACTAATCCATATCCTAAATAATATAATCGGTGTATAATAGAGACTACTCATGATTCATTAATAGCGCATAATGGGCCACGATGTCGCGATTGTATTACAAACACACACTTCTAGGTTGGCAGCACTTTATGATTTATGCTCATTACCAAAAGCGAAACCAAAACTTCTTAAAAATATCATTAACTAATATTGCTACAGTATATTGCTTTGATTAAGAAATCATTATTAGCCAAAACATTTACAACTAACTGTGTCTTCACATTATTGAGTCTATGATTCATCATTATCTACATAACTACTAATTGTAGAACATTAATGAACGATCAAACTGCATAATTTCAGTTCGGATAGAATTTTAATACTACCTTTGAAACCATTTAAAAGAAATTTATTTATATTAAAAATTGATTATTAGGAGAAGTAGGAAAAAAAAAAAATGAAGGATTACAAACTAACTGCGTCGGGTTCCGGTTTACAGTTAAGATCCAAACCCGAATTACGTAACCCGACCCGATCTATCCCATCTAACTCTCCGTCTCGAACGCCGTTAGTATCCATTGAGCTCCTCATTCCAACCCTCTGACTCCGTTTCCTCTTCTTAGACGTTAACTCTCGTTCGACCATACCGCCGTTAGCTCTCGTTAACGTCCGAGTCGCCACGTGTACTCTCCGTAATATCTTGAAAAACTCATCCACCTCTTCCTCCGTCACGGTACGTACAACTTCCATTGACGACTTCTCTGTGTGCCCGTCACCGTTATCTTCTTCGCGGCGTTCCTCTTTCTTCTCCGAGCTCATGTTAGCTACAAGAAAACTACAACTTTGGCTAGAAAATAAAACTGTTTGTGATATTTATTTTGGTTTATTATGAGTATACTCTTCTTATAGGACGTCGGTGAGGACTTTAAACGGTCGATATCGTCAACGCAAAATAAAATGGACGGTAGAGATTGATGCTGACATCATCATAGAGACGTTGAAGCATAAAGGTCCATGACGTAGGTCTTCAGATGGACTTTCGAATAAAGGGTTGTCATGTGGAAAATTTGGTAATCTGCTTTACTTTAATTTATAGAAGATCTATAATTTTATTATATAAGTAAGACCAAGAGCTTTGAGACAACATTTTATAAGAGAGAAATGAAAGAAAAAGACCAAGAGATATTGTGAATTGTGATCAACTGATCATAGTTAACGTGAAAAAAGTACTCTTGCGATTTTTTATTTCTAGTTTTTATCTATTTCTACTATTATATTAAAAACCCCACGTTAATTGCAATGGTTTTCCAAGCACTAACTGATATTGGCGTTCACATTCTTGATATCATGTTTCTGATTTACTTGTCAGACAAAAATAGAAAAGAAAAACTGAGGAAGCATGTTAATCACGACTTCAAATGTATTACAGGTAGTATTAGTCCGTGAATGTAGCAAAAAAAAAATAAACTGAACGTTACAAACTTTTTTTTTGTGGACAATCTGAACGTTCCAAACTTTATCATGTCTTATCAGTCTATGATGGTATAGAATAATAGAACAGTTCTTAAGTCACTATCTAAAAGTTTTATCGTGATTCCGATGCATTCAGGTATCTCTATGACGCTGTACATCTTTGATTTAATCTTTGACAGTAGTCTCTAGTGCTTTCAAGTCTTGCTGTTTGAACCAGTGTAGCCCTAAAATTTTAAGTTAGTGAAATTAAGTGTTTGCACATTAAAAAAAACTACGTCGTCAGAAACTTAATAAAACAAAGACATTCTCGCATCCTTCGAAATTCTTGGACACATGTAACAATGGGCCTAATTAGAACTTTTAGTTAACACTATTTTGTATTGGGCTCTTTGGTGGGTCTTATAAACATGAATTATCTGTACATAAAAAATCGATTTTAGCGAACTCGAAAATGACAGCTGCAATGAAAAGTAAAAATAAAATAAAAGACAAGAATGTGGGGTCTACGTAGGCGGCTAAGCTGTTTCCCATATTCCAAGCTTCCGTCCACTACTTGACTTCTCCTCTCCCTCTCGACACTCTATTTTTTCAACTCTCCACTTTCTCTGACGTGTTCACTTATTACATAATTAGTTCTGTATTTTCCACATTTAAATGATATTAATAGCTTTATGTCTATGGGTCGTCGATGGAAAATTTTATGGTCGTCGATAGCTACATATTTATTACTAATAGTCCACGTGCTCAAATGTCTACATTTAAACACCACGTGACAATGATAATCCGACACCTGTATAAATAAACGAAATACATACTATTGTTTGTAGAGTACCGGTTCTAATGTTGGTTATTGCAGTTTATATTGGTTTGGTATACTATGGGATATACTGCTGTTTTCTGGTGGTATAACTACCTGAGATGACTAAAATGTTTAACTCGTATGTATGATAAAACATTATAAAAAATTATGCATCTGTTTTTAGCTTCTTTTACTAGATAATCCGCACTGATCTTTTTGTTGCGCGAAGTATGATTAAACTTAAATTCTCAAACGTCTCATGTAAAAGACCGAATGAATCTATCTAAAGCTGAAATCAGTTAAAACTCCAATTTAGTTACACGGCATAATCTTCGGAATTATTTTGTTCTTATAATTTTTCTGTGTGTGGAGTGTAGACTTTATTTATTTTCTTATGTTTTTATATGAAAAATCGCTGGAAAGTTTGGTCAAATTAATTTACTGCCTTTGGAGAAAAAAACGTTTGGTCGATAAGGAGTGATTAGTATGGGCCATTCAGCAATTGTATATTAGATTTGGCGGAGAAAAATGCTTTTTCTTACTTTCTTTAATATTGTCTCGTCTTCATTCTTCACGTAGGGTAGGCAAGTCACATGCATTCAGGCGTGCGTTCACTGTTTTCTTTTTCCTTTTACTGCTCACATTTCTTGCTTAAATTTGGTTATAGGCTTTTTTTTTTGAAACACTAGTTTGGTTTTAATTATCACATACAAAAACTTTGGTTTATTTTTTTTTGTGAAGCACAAAAACTTTGGTTTATATTAAACCTATTCTCCAAACGCTCTGACACTGGTACTTTTTAAATAAGAAGGGTGTAAGCAAGTCTGGACGAATGTGGCAGTTGCCAGCGATAATAAAAAAGCTGTGAACACGTAAACAAACAAATCTGGAAATCACGAGTGCTTAGCATTTTCTTGATGAAAACGAAAGAAAGTGACATTTCTTTCATTTTAATTTGATTCATTTTAACTAATGCACGCTCAAACATAAAACGGACCAGGCTCGAGACCATCTTGAACGACAAGTCATTATGTTTCAACAAATCTACCTCAGTTTTATGAAACGTGACCAAAAAAGACTATATATAAGTAATTAATTAAGTTATATCACTTATTGTTGTATGATTTGTTTTAGTAAATTAATAACTAAGGCTTGTTCATTTGTAAACAGTTGAGTTCCGTCGATCACTGACTTCGTGAAGACTTCGACGAATTCAAAACGTTTCTGAGTTGTGATATATTCTCATGTCCACTAAAATTGGATAAAGACTTCTGAATTGTGATGAAAAATCCTTGGGTTGCTATCAACTAGCAATTGTGGGGATGTGACAATCCCACGTTCGATATTGGCCTTCTTTGCCTCCCTCAAAATCACAAAGAAAAGTAAACAAACCTCTAATTCAACTTTGCAAGTTACCATATTTTATTAATGTAATCGAGTATTCGTTACTAGTCACTACTAACCATATTGTATATTTTTATTGAATTTTATCTCATTTGTCTACTTCACAGAGGCACAGTGTAGTAGCAGTGACAAGTAGTGCATGTATACAAATGTTATTTATTTATTTTTTTTAGCAAACAATAAAAGCATATTTTTACCAGAAAATAATTCCAGAAATAGTATGTTTGTTACCATATTGTAAAAAAGCTTCACCCAATGCGAATGCATTAAAAGATATCATTGTCTGTGGTTGAATTAAAGCCAAACAGAATTAAAATTTCATCTAACTTTTTTTTTAACTTTAATTCTCTTTACTGAATTTTATTGAGATCTGTGTCTTTCTAATTTTAAAAATTTACTAACTCTCTTTATTAAATTCCTCGATTTGTTAAATTTCTCATTTACCAATTTGAAGAGTTTCTTTTTAGATTTTTTTCTCTCTTTCTTTTCCGACATAAATATTTAGTTTTTGTCACTGTGTAAGAAAGAGAACCAGGAAAAAATCTTGGCCATAGATTTATCATCTGTTTACGATTCGATATGATTCTAACTTTATCTTCTTCCTTCTTTTGAATCTTCCCTTCTTATATCTACTAGTATCTCCCCTTCTCTTTTTCACTTTTGCCGGAAGCCTCAGAGAACCAAAGAGAGTGTAGAAAGAGAGAACAGAGAAAGTTTCTCTGAACTTGCCGGAGCTCCGGCTACTCTCTTTCTCTCTTCTTCTTAACGTCTCTTCTTGATTTTCTCGCGTTTACATCGGATTCCATGCGATTAAGACCTAAAAGGTAACTGGGTTTCTTTAAAGTTTTCAACTTTATTCTTTTTAAATTATTATAGTGTTTCTCTGTTCTGTTCGAATCTGAAGTTGGTTGGTTTATGTTTCTAGGTATTGAATTTGAAACAGGGCTTGTTTTTGGATTTTGAATCTTTTGGAGGCTTTCGTATGAATCAAATTTTTGTTCTTTAGAGAGAGATTGTTTAGGGTTTTTAGAGGGGTTTGGTTTGAGATTTTTGCACACAAAGTGTTCGACGAAATGGCTGAACCAAAGAAACGGTCTTCCCTTCAAGCGACCAAGCCCTGTAGAAAACCCAAGAAGAAAACTTTCCAGCTAAACCGGCTCCCTGGTTTATCTGAAGATTTGAAGACTATGAGAAAGATCCGTTTCGTTGTGAATGATCCTTACGCTACTGACTACTCATCCAGTGAGGAAGATGTTGAAACAAGTAGGAGAAGGAAACGTTATGTCTGTGAGATAGACCGTCCTTTCTCTCAAGCCACTGCTCAAGCTGCAGAATCTGAGAGCTCTTATTGTCAGGAGAGTAATGTTAAAGTCTCACCTTGTAGCAAAAAGGTTATAAGTGGGAAGGCCTCTCAGGTTGTGACGAAGCCTGTTGGTGTAAGGCAGAGGAAATGGGGCAAATGGGCTGCTGAGATTAGACATCCAATCACCAAGACAAGAACTTGGTTGGGTACTTACGAGACACTTGAACAAGCAGCTGATGCTTATGCAGCCAAGAAGCTTGAGTTTGATGCTTTGGCTGCTGCCTCTTCTGCTACTCCCTGCGACTCAACTGCTTCAAATGAGTCTGCTTCTATGATCTCTGCCTCAGGGTCTAATGTTGAAGCTGTGTCAAGCTTTGCTCAAGCTGGTGAATCGAAGAAGAAGGCGGGTTTTGGTTTCAACTTTGCAGATCTACAGATACCTGATATGGGTTGCTTCATTGATGAGTCATTGATCCCAAATGCTTGTGAGCTTGATTTCCTCTTTACTGAAGAGAAAGACGACCAACTGTTGGATGATTACTGCGGTATAGATGATATGAACATCATTGGTCTTGAATGTGACGGTCCAAGTGAACTTCCAGACTATGATTTCTCTGACGTGGAGATTGATCTTGGTCTCATTGGAACCACCATTGACAAGTTTACCTTCGTGGATCATCTTGCTACAAGTACAACCACTCCTCTTAATATCGCGTGCCCGTAAGTTTTGCAGCTAGGTGTTGTTATTAGTAGCTTATAGGAGCAGGGTAAAGTAGCTCCGTTTTTGTTCCGGTTTTGTTTAAGTTATTACAGTATAGCAGAGGCAGTTAATCTCAGGGAAAGCAAGAACCCTAAAGAGAGAGAGTGATAAGTTTTGTGTATTGGTGTTACTAAAAAGTTTAGTTGACGTAATGTTGTGAAGAAGATGGAGCGAGGTGAGATCAAAATTGTAATCTCAGAGGGATTCTATTTTGTAAACTCTCTCAATCTTTGTAAGTTTTGCCTATTGAGTTGTTGATATGTATGTGAAACCAAAGTTATTGTTTTGTTGTATCTTCTTCTCCTCTTTTGATTCATCATCACCAATGTTCCAATTCAATTTCTATAGGCTTGGTTCCGAGCTCAAGAACAGATCATTTATTATCAAAAGCTCAACTTAGAGTCTATGTATAAACCTTGTGTTAGGGTTTAGGCCTTTTGAATTAGGTTTGAGTAGAGTTTTTTCTTAAAAAGTCGACACAAGAACAAGTGTGGTCCAATATAAACATGAAGAAAAGTTAATGAGTGTGGTTGGTTGATGATCATTTATCACATTAGCACACCAATACTCACCGCCCTAATTGCGTTGGTTCTTAAATCATTTTCAAAAGATTTTGTTTTAGCAATAATTATATCTTGTTTCGTGGAAGAAAACCTTTGCGTATAATACAAGTCTTTCAAAAGGTTTCCTTAAACTATTTATTTCAACTAGTTCCAACTTTAATAAAAGGATTAAAATTATAAATAGAACTGTTTCAGTTATCGTGTGTCAAGAGATCTCTTAACTTTAAATTATCGGACACAATAAGGTAGTTACTTTAAATGCATGTGTTGGTGTTGTTGCCTCCTAATGAGCAATTTCCCCAGTTTGGGATGATTGTTCGGGTGGAGTAAACAAAAAAGATTCAAAATGTATTTATTAGTTTCGTTTTACTGGACAGAAATATATATATATATATATATATATATATATATATATATTTTTTTTTTTTTTTTTTTTTATTTTGCATTCGAAAATTTGAAGCGAATTCTCAAGATGCTGATAGAAAACAGTCTTCTAATAAGATTAATTGGATCGAGAGAAAAAAGACATTTGAGATTTGACATGCTCAACGTATAATTGGTTTCACTAAGTCGCTGGTTTTAGTTGTCATTATCATTTGAAAGAAACTATATTACAAAGTTTGGAAGTTAGTGACTTGAAACTAAATAACAATTTAGTAGTATTTGCATTTCTGCAAGCAATCAGCTACATCGTTTGATACTTTTAGAATTTTCTTTTGGTATTTAGCATTTTGCAACACGTTACGTCGATATTTCAGACTATATAGACATTTAGTGTGAATATCTTGTTCTCAGTACTAGTGTATCAGTTGGGGATCTTTGTTAGATGTTGCGTTCCAAAAATAAAAAGAATATATGATAGATGTTTATCTACTGAGAGACGAGGAACTACTTAGTGTGCTCGTTTGAGCATGTCGTAGTCCCGTAGACTCTTTTGAGCATGTCGTAGGCACAAGAGAAAATGGAGTTAGGTTCAAAAGGAAAGAAGGGTTTTCTTCCCCCAAGACTCGTTGATGTATAACTTAGTAATTAGTTTACTGAAGCGATGATTTGGGAAATTGTATAGTTTGAAGAGGGGGTTCTGTATGTGAATCAAGACTCGTATTTGTTTATTAGTATACAGAGAATTAGAGAAAGCAAGAAAAATTGGGTTAAACTCTCTTCTGCAATTGTGAGTTCTCCTTTATTTCTTTTTATAGTAAAGGGCATGGTGGAATAGCTTTTCGTCTTGCCTATGTGACTTATCTGTCAAAATTTTTTGGTGGTTATAGTTAGGTGGTTTGTGGATTCTTTCGTCCTGATTCTGTAGGAACTCCAAGAACATCGACGATATGTTCACCTATACCAGATTGGTAAAGTGGTAGGATCCTCTCACCACATGTTTGGTGTAGATGTAGCTGATAAAATAGCCTCAACATACTTTTTAACAAGAAAGTTTGGAATACTTATAATATTTTTATTAGAAAAAAATTTTGGAATACTATTCCACATAAAAGTGATAAGACCATTTTACATTATTTTTTACTCTAAAAATAGAGTCATTCTATTATAGAATTGGAGTTTACTCCAATGATACTCTATTTTAGAGTGAAAAATAGAGTGATGAACAAAGAAAACAAGTTACTATATATTTAGAGTAAATCTATTTTTCACTCTAATTATAGAGTGAGATATAGAGTACCATTAGAACATTTTTACTTTAAAATTTTATTTTAGAGTGAAAAATAGAGTGAGGTTGATGATGCTATAATGTTAACAACGCCCTACTCTCTCCGACTACCAATAAGGAAGTCGGACATAAGGTTCCATATGATACCTAAAGCCCAACGCATTATACTGATGGCCCCAATTACAAATTATTCTTCTTCTTGGGCTGGTCGCATGAAATTGGCGAATTCTAACAAAAAGACAATTAGGCGAACATAGATGTTACAACCTTTACAACATACAGTCATACATAGTGTAGGGCTCAGTGGCTCACCGCCGGTGTTAAAAGTTTGTGGAGTCGACGAGTTATTTTCCAACGAGAGTATGACATAGCACCCAAGTTTGTGAAAACTAATTTTTCCAATTATTAATGTTAAAATGTTTATACGATTTGTTATAAAAATAATATATTTACAAGAAAATACTTTCCGGTTGCTTATATACTTTTATGAATATTTACTTTAGTACTACTAGCTAAGACTAGGCTTTAAGAAAATTATATATTTTCACGCAATTCATTTACTGAAAATACCTAGAAACATGAGTTTTAATATGGAGTATAATAATATAACCATATCAAATTAAGGCGTTAGGGAGTACTAGCTAAGACTAGACTTTTAGAGTGTTTTTCTTTTTATATGGTCTAAAACACTATTTTTCTTTGTCACCAATGGTTTAAACACACATAATGTCGCATATCAATAAAATGTATAGTTTTCCATCATTTGTTATAACCTGTAGATTCATTCATTTTGTAATTAATTGCATCTGTTGTAGTCTCAACTACCACAACGAACAACCAAGCCTTTTCTCGCCGTTTTTCAAACGGTAAGGTTATTTTATAATACACTCCAAGTTCATTTAAAAATGCTGCAAGTTTTAGAATGGTTGAACAAACGTAAAAGCTAATTGACTTCACTGTATCAACATTTTACAGCAATTACACAGATGTGTCAGGGCCCGTTAAAAGATATAAAATGATTTTAGAATATGGTTAATTACTATAAAATTTATTTTAGAATGTTAACAATGGCGGTGAAGCCATGCCACGTTCCACATATGCTTTTCTTCATAGTCAAGATACAAGAATGTGCGTCGTTGACCCCACCAAACAATACCACTCTGGAGACTTATAGTTTCAACATTCAAAGATCAATCAAGTTCAATATTTCAAAAATTAATATAAATTTACTCCAAATATTTATTTAGAACCAGTTTCCTAAATAAAAGTAGTATATAGAAATGTAAAACAAGTCACAAATTTTTATAAGGTGAAACTATATTTTGATCAATGTTTTGAAATTTGAAAACCAAACTAATATCATTTTCTTATATATACGAATAAACTTTACTTACTTGGCTATGACTTTAAGATATACGTTTCACATGACACATTCGTATTTAGCTTCGAATACAACTAACACCAACCTTTTCTGCACATGTACATGTTTGATAGAATGGACTTATTGTATAATAAAATACATAATTGTGTTTATTCATTCCTGCATTCATTAGGGTAAGATCTTGCAACATCTGTTAATTGTTTTGGGTCAACACATTAATTTATCTATTTGCTATTCCCACGTATAAACATACGTCGAACCTCAGAAAATTCCATATCAAGTTGTTTAAAAGAAAAAATCTCACTACTTAATTCGAGTTTCTCTTTATAAAGTCTTAACTGGTAGGTATTCAACACAAAGTAAGTCGCATACATTTACCTGACTAAAATATATGACATTGTGCCGTCTGCGGCACGTTCACGGCAAAAGAAAATGACATGGTCACGGTTTTGATTAACCGTTAATAATGCACGTTAAAACTATAGTTGTAGTTCGTTTTTTATCTTTTTTTGTTTGTACAAAATTAGAGTGTATAGTGATTTATCTACTCGCTTAATACAATTATTTTTAAGAGAGAAAATAGATTAAACTAATCAAAATTTGATACTTATTATATTTGTATGGTGTTTTGCTAATATTAAGATTTAAATTTCGTCTCCTCCTCTTCGCACTACTTAGACCATATGCAACAATGGTTCTTAACACAAATCCTTAAGAAAAAGATTAATATAAAATTATGTAGGCTCCACTTCATTTATGTTTTTGTGCCAACAAAAACTCTTAAACTCCTTAGCTAAGGATTAGATTTGTTGAACCTCTTAACTATTTATGGGCTCCACTTAAATAATCTGAAAATGTGATTGGTCAGTTCTTTTTTCTTTTTCTTTTTTTTTTTAAATCTGAAAAAAATAAAATAAAATAATCATAACTACTATTTTTAAGGATATGTGCCTTGAGTACATGGTTGCTGATGCCCTTAGAACACCCGTCTTTAAGAAGAAATATTTAAAGAATAAATAATTAAATAATTAATGAACTTCACAAAAAGTTAAAGATTCATTCTTAAAAATCTTTAAATAAAGGTATTTTTATCCCTAAACCCCATTTTGATTTCTTGTTTTTAATTTTCTTGTCTGATTCTTTTTTTATCGAACCAATCGTGGGTACGTGTTAATGGGGACATAAACAAACAATACAAAAACCCCTCAAAACCGTATCTTATTTTGCAATTTTTGGAGATGTCTCTTGTGGATTTGTGGATCCTCCTCTCTCTAAAAAACACATAAACATGACCGATTATCTTGCTCTAAAGATTTTTTCTTATTGAATCTTTGCAGGCTCTCACGACACGTATCGGTCCGCGATTAGTTGGTATTTTTTTTTTATCTGAAAAAAAAATAATTAAAAAAATTTAAAACTAAGAATTCCAATGGATATAACCATTGCGGGTGCTCTTATAGTGCATGTGTGTTACATGTTAACCATGTTTATTCCGTTTATTTTCTTCAAAGTTTTCTTTCAATTACTATTTAAACCATAGCTACAAAATTGTAGTATTAATTTATAAGCTAACGAGAAAAGAATCTTGAAAACCTGAAACTTCCTCTAAAAGAAAAACTATAGAATAAAAGTGTGAGACTAGAGAAGAATATGATATCCGTTCGTAAATGAATTAGATAAGAGATTATTCAATAGAGTAGGTATGTATAATCAAAAAATTAAGTTAAATGCAAGCATGTTTAATGTCTTTTCGTTCCATTTTATTTTGTTTGACGGTGGAATGGAAAACGAAGAATTTCTTTCTTTTTCCGTCGGCGAAAGTTGAAAAAAAAATTAAAAAATATATACTATCACATTTACAGGTTAGAGAAACGCGTTTAATTTATTTAAATTACTTAAGTGGGCCCAGCCCAAGCCCATTGGCTATAACATAAATACAAGTGTCGAGAGGGAGACAAGAAACATCCATCGTTAGGGGAAAAACACATTTTTAAGCAACAAAAGCGGCGTTGATTCTCCGATTTCACGAGACAAGAAAATCTCAAAGTTTCTCGTTTTAGGGTTTCTTTTTCTTGTAAGAAACGAGATACATTTGGGTTTCAAGTCATGGGTTTGGAGAAGAAATCTGCATTGTTAGAAGATTTGATTAAGAAATGCGGCGGCTGTGCGGTGGTCGACGGCGGTTTCGCAACTCAGCTCGAGATTCACGGCGCCGCCATTAACGATCCTCTGTGGAGTGCCGTTTCCCTCATCAAAGATCCTGAACTCATCAAGCGGGTTCGTTTTAATATTTTATTTACATTTCTGTTTTGAATTTTTGTTTCCCTAAATGTGAAAAATAGTGGTTTTAATTTTAGGGTTTAGATTCCGACAAAAGCAGATCTCTTTTGTCTTTTTTTTCTTCCAGTTTTATAGTTTTTATGGTCTGAAGATTTGGATGATAATGGATAAGTGTTGTTTAATTTTGCAGGTTCATATGGAATATTTGGAGGCTGGTGCAGACATTGTTGTTACTTCATCTTATCAAGTAAAAAAACCTTTCTTGTTTATCAATCTATCTTATCCGTTTTAAAGATCTAATCTTTTAATCTCCATTGTGTTAGTTTTCGGGTGATTATTACAAGGTTTAACATTTATTAAAAACATTATCTGCTTTTTGAATACAAAAGTGTTAAAGATTGTAGTAGGGTCAGAAGCAAAGATACTTGTCTTTTGTTTATTTCATTTGTCAGATTCAGTTTTGTCCTTTTTTCTTCCTTTTGTTGGTTTGTAAAGATTTTAATTGAGTTTAAACATTTCAGGCTACAATCCCTGGCTTTCTCTCAAGAGGATTGTCAATGGAAGAGAGTGAGTCTTTGCTCCAAAAGAGCGTGAAACTAGCTGTTGAAGCTCGTGATAAGTTCTGGGACAAAGTGACCAAAACCTCAGGACATAGCTATAACCGAGCTCTTGTAGCTGCTTCTATTGGAAGTTACGGAGCTTATCTCGCTGATGGCTCTGAGTACAGGTCCCTTTACAAGACTCATTTTAACTCACATTACATTGGTTCTGTCCATTGAAGACTTATAGTGTTTTCGATGTGTCTTCTTGCAGTGGAAGCTATGGTGAGGATGTAACCTTGGACAAACTAAAAGACTTCCACAGGAGAAGAATCCAAGTCCTAGTGGAAGCTAGTCCTGATCTTCTTGCTTTCGAAACCATACCTAATAAACTCGAGGCTCAGGCTTGCGTTGAGCTGCTGGAGGAAGAGAATGTGCAAATCCCAGCTTGGATCTGCTTCACTTCTGTTGATGGTGAGAATGCTCCATCTGGTGAGAGCTTTGAGGAATGTCTTGAACCTCTTAACAAAAGCAACAACATTTGCGCTGTTGGTATTAACTGTGCACCTCCTCAGTTCATGGACAATCTTATCCGCAAATTCTCCAAGGCAAGTGGAAGTTTAAAACTCTGTAGCATTGCCCTTTATTTTCTTGGTTCTTACTAACTATAGTCATCTCTTATCTTCAGCTGACCAAGAAGGCAATCGTTGTTTACCCAAACAGTGGAGAGGTTTGGGATGGTAAAGCCAAAAAATGGCTGGTAATGTTCACTTTCTCACTTGTTTGTATTCAATGAGTCGTTGAGTCAATGAAAGAATGAATCTCTATTGACCAAAAAAAAAGAAAAAGAAAGAATGAATCTCTTATGATTTTTTGGTTGATATTTTGGCAGCCATCGCAATGCTTTGGTGATGCTGAGTTTGAGATGTTTGCACCGAAATGGCGTGACCTTGGAGCTAAACTTATAGGAGGATGTTGCAGGACTACACCTTCCACCATCAAAGCTATCTCTAGAGATTTGAAACGAAGATGAGTTCCTCAGGGAAGATGATTGAAGATTTCACTTCTTTAATTCGTTTTCTTAGGTTTTTCTTTTTTCTTTCCCTGGACTGTGTTGTTTTCTTGCTTGTCAAGTTTTATTTGTTGTCTAATGATATGTATCCGTAAACTAGGCCTTGGGCTTTCTCGTATGAGTGCCCCATATATAATATTTTTTCTTTCTCCATAATACTCTTTTACTCAGCTCTGATTGGTATTCCATTCTTGCAGAATAATTTTAGTGAACAGTTATTGGATTTCAATAGTTTAATTAACAGTTATTGTTCGTGCGACCAGAAACAAAAGAAGACAATTTAATTGACACTTACAAGTTACACCTAACAAAATATCAAAACATGTGGTCTATGCTTGGCTGGTGAACACTGAACAGTATCTACACACATTTGCTACATTTTTGGTTCTTTTTACTTTAGCTGAGTTGGACCAATTACACCTCAATTATAGTTCACCCTTCACTTGGTTATGCTCTTATTTTTTCTTGCTGTTTTGGTCACATTTCAACATGAAATGATCAAATAATAGTTGTGGGTTAAATTGTGTATTGTTGTACAATTGGTAAAACCATCTCCAATGGTCTTTCATTTTGAGGGAAAACATAAAAATGAGAGAAAATCTTCTCTAATGGTGCATTTGAGAGAGAAAATGAATTTGCGAATAGTACTCCCTCAGTTTTTCACTCATTTTGTGTTAAGTTTTTTTTCTTCTAAATTAATATTTAAGCTTTTTATAACTTTTTACATCTAGAAACTCAATATTTGTTTTATACTAAAAAGAAATTATTAATACTTTCATAATATTATTATAAGTTTATTTAAACCCTTGTATCTTCTTTAGAAACTAAACTTATGTACATAATGAGAATTGAATTAAAATAAAATATTTTTTAGGTAAAATTTGTAAGTTTTATAAAACAATAACCATTATTTTAGAAGTAATAATAACAATAACATAATATATTTGAAACGGACAAATAACTCAAACATTTTAAAGTTTTTATAACAAAATAAATCTCAAACACTAAAATGACCAAAATAACATTTTTTATTTTGAAACGATTCTTTTCTTTTGAAGAAACATATTTGAAAATATTTTTTTTTGAAGGAAAAAAGTGAGGGGAACCATTAGAGGAAAATGTAAATTCATTTTTGAGGGAAAAATAAGGGTGGCCATTGGAAATTCCCTAAGACATGACTTTTATCATTCCACATGCCCCATTGTAGAGAGTAAAGTACACATCTTGTCCACTGATTAGCTTTGGGGAAATTATTTGTTGCATGGTCATGTTTAGTCCAGAGTCTTATAATTTTGGATGTTTAATATTAATTCACTATAACTAATACTTTTAGATACACAAATCATCGAATAAAATATTTGATTACTGGTTTGGTTTCAGTTCGTTCAAATAGTTTGGATATAAAAATACAAGAAGAATGAGGTAAATATATAATTTGATTCAGTTTGGTAATTCCATATCTACTTCAGTCTCTATGCTGTTCTGATAGACTAAATATTTTGATTTTTCTAAATTTTTCCATATGATCCATATTGGTAAATGTCTCATCATAAGAGATAGTCCCGGACTCTGGACCCAAAAATCTGACAAAACTCGGAGGTCACAAGACAAACCATATAAAATATCTCATGTTTCCACATGTGCACAGCTTATCTGAGTGGTAGGTATTAAACACGTAATATTAAGCACATTTCCAAACCTGCCATATAGCTTCTTGTTGCTATTACACATTCTACAATAGCTTGAAAAAGAGAACATCATTAATCTAGACAGCATTAGACTACACGCCAAATGAAGAGAGTAAGAACAGAGTCTTTGGATCAGATTGTAAGAGAGAAACAGAGTAGTGTTTAGGTAAGAGAAAATGAAAGTCTGAAGAGGAGTTTTTCTCCTTAATCTATTCATCTAACCCATTGAACAAAAGGTTGTATCATATTCAAATATCTATATCCAGATTTGAATATAGATAAAGTCTTGTGAAGTCTGTGCTCAAACTTCAATTCTTGTTAAGTGAGGTGAATTTTAGTAAGTGTGGTTAAGTTAGATGAATTTTGATAAAGTCTGGTGAAATCTTGTAAAGTCTTGTGATGTCTTCTATTGTACAGATTCTTTTTCATCTTTTTCCTCTCAACATGTGTTTTTTTTTTTGATCAAACCAACTTGTATTAATCTTAGGAGAGTTTAAGCCCCATCAAAGGAGAATACAACCAAGCTACAAAGAGCTAAAGGAAACATGAAACAGATAAGATCTAAGATAGAATCGAAATACAAATCACAACAAGTAAACATTAGAAATCGTATCACAACGGTTCCATAAGCTTCTTGAAAGATTGCATCTCGTGTAATCCAAAGAGTCACAACCACTACACTAAAGGCAGTGAATAGTGTTAGCCGGGAGGAGAATCCTTGCAATACCAGCCACACATGATCATCCAACTCACTCCATACATGAGGAAATATTGGGAAAAGAGACGTCTCCAACCAGGAGACCAACGGGAAATCAAAACCCGCCATAACCATATTGATCAAGCAACAAGTCACAATGCTTTTCTCTTTTAACTGCCACCGAAAAGAGAAATACACAGACGATGTACCACAAACCAGGTTTAATACAATAATAGGACTATATACTACAGAGAGGAGTTGCAACAACACATCGGATAAGTCATTACTAGGCTCAAAGATATAACCAAAGGACACCATCAGTATATCACCAATTAAAACCAGGAACAGTAAATCCAGTGTCACCCACACATCTAACATTGCTTCCCATTCAATAGAAGAAGGGTAAGGAGAGAGTAAAGATCTAAGGTGACCCTGTATACCACAGGAGAGCTCAACCAATGTTGGACTTAAGTCTACTCTTTAGGATTTCTAAGACATCATCATCAGGTCTGATAAGTTGTTATAACAACTCTTGCTTCCATGTTTTGTTAAATCATTTACCCGTCTGAAGATCATCAGCCTTTTTGCATCTGTAGTTAATTACGGACTTCGTGGAAGATGTGTAGGCAACCAAGGAGTAACAAACGCATTACTTCAGTTGCATCACCTTTAAACACTTGACCCCTTTGGATATTATTTTATTCTAGTGTCATTAAAGCATTTCTTTGTAAAATTTTATTTTTTTCCTCTAAAACAAAGTAACTTTGTAATAGAGTTGAGTTTTATTCCAAATTTTTTGGGATAAAAATAAAAATAAAATTTTTTGGAATATGGAATGAGGTTAGAATGCACTTAGTGTGTATAATGTCTTTGGAACGCAAACATCTACGGTTTTTGTATGCAATGCAAGGCATCTGATATATTTTTATTATCATATTTTATATACTTAACATAAAAGGTACTTATTACAATTTTTAACAGGTATAAGAGTAACTAATTGAGGAAAGATTCACATAATAGCAGAATATGTTAATAACTTTTTAAATGTATGATATATGTAAATAAAATGTAAAATAATGATTATTTTTAGTAAATTTTAAATATTCATTAATTTTTCCTCAAATCATACAAGACTGAGAATTTAATTTTCTTTTTAAAGTATTCAATTTTGCCTACAAAATTAGTAAAAATCTAATTTAGAATTAAAAAGCTTCTTAGACAGCTGGATCAAGTATGAATATGAAAATATATTAGAACATTATATAAATGATTTTCTGCTAGATAGTACTAGTAAATTATTACTCTCTCCATTTCACTTTATTTGTCATTATAGCTTTTTACACACAGATTAAGAAAATATTTAATTTTACATATTTCCGAGATAAAAACACAATTACATATACACCTAACCACTTTTCAACCAATAGAAAAATAGAATATTATATAAAACTAATAAATTTTGCCTCGAAACTCTAAAACGACATTTAATTTGTGACAAAAAAATATGCCTAGAATGATATATATTCTGAAACGGAGGGAGTACTACTTTTACAAAGATATAAATATCATTATAGTTTGCGGAAAATCTTGAATAATGATAAAATAAAACGGATTTTTTTGTAAAAGTAAACAATTAATAATCGTACATATAAAACAAAATACAAAGTACATATTTTTAGGTAAGACAAGCACAATATGTACTTACTTGATTTTCTGAGTAATTCGACCGACATTATAGTACTTATACTTTTCCCAATAATTTAGCTGTACAATTGCCAATATGAAAATAAATAAGTACTCATAAAATAATATACTAATTCAGAAATTAGCATTTAGATTTTGGTTATTTTAAGATCATTACCTCTTCTATATTTAGTGAAAAGATAAATAGTCAAAGAGATTCTAAAAGCCAAACAGAACGGGACAAAGAGAGGACATTAAAAGCTCCTTCGCGCGCATATTACGTGGCGCTTCTCCACACATCGGTTTCTCTGCTTCTCATAAAACACCCAAATTCGAGACCTCTTTTTCCTAAATTTTATTTTAATTTTTAATATTAAATGCTTGACTTCTTTTTGACTACAATACAATCAAGTAGCAATAAAATGGAAGAATTTCGAGAACTGCAAGTCTTACACAAAGAAAACGTATACATTAGTTTTCTAAAAAAATCATTACAATTTTCAAAGAAAACACAGCACAAATTGTTTGATCATGTGTAGAAAGTTTCTAGAATTAGTCATACATTTCTAACAGTTTTCAGAACTCTTCGTATAACTATCCTGCGTAATGTTAGATGTTTGTGAACTTTAACACTCCTATTAGATTTATCGTGGATAATTTAAGCATGGCTGTTTATCACTTCATCCACACAATGTCTAGGGTCTACAGGAATATAAAGACATGCATTAAAAATCTATTGCATAAACTTGGTTACTCGTGGATTTCGACTTAACTGGGAGTAGTATTATTAGTATGTAAGAGGTCATCTTGCGTAATTGTTAAACAGGTCACGTGGATTTCAGTTTTTACATTTTTCCATGCAGCTTTTAGTTTGGTCATTGCACTCGATTACAAGTTGTCTCCATTTGATTTGATTAAGAATTTGTACAACGGAATAAATATATTGCAAAAGAATAATTCCAAACACTACCGTCCATACCATTTCTTTTAGTTTCACCCTTTATTTTATCGTATCGTGACTGTAAAACAATCTCAGATCTCTCGTGTCACTTAACTTTGCATCTAGTCCGCGAATCCCTATGGTAAGTAAACCTTTTTTACCTTCATAATAATACATCATTTAATCATAGTTTAAGATACCTTTCTGTATCTAGTGGCAAGGAAAATGTATGCGATGAAGTTTGGTTTCCGTTCACTTATACTCCCCCCGTTTTATATTAAGTGTCATTGTAGAGAATTTTTTGTGTTACAAAATATGTGTCGTTTTCGGTTTTCAATGTAAAATTTATTAATTTTATTATGTAATTTGTTTTTCCATTGGTTAAAATATGGTTAGTGTATGGGTAATTGTGTTTTTATATAGGAAATATGTAAAATTAATTGTTTCCTTAATCCGTGTGCATAGATGTAGAATGACACTTATATTGAAACAGATGGAGTATGCTATTACTAAAACAAAGAACTTCTGAAGTTCCCACTACTTGAATGTTTATTCGTGTTTTTGAATACGGAGTTGACAAAATGACATCATATTTCTAAATTACAAAATTTTAAAATTTGATAGTTTATGATATGCCATATACTAATTGGGATAGTTTTCTACAATATCGCTTACCATAAGTGAAACACCATGCACTACAATTTTAAGGTGTACATATATATTATATATTTCAAACAAGGTCTGTATTTCTGTGCTAATAATAATAAAAAAATGAAAGGTTTGTGACATGACTTTTTTGATAAAACTTGAACTAATACAAACCAACCATACTGTCTTTTGCACACAAAGTTACAACAATATCTACTGTCTATATGACTTTAAAGTATATTTATTTAAACAAATTTGACCTTACAGTGGCTAGCTAGGTTGGGGAAAGGGAGAAAGCTTTTTTGATTTGCCAGTCGTAAAAGCAAACAGCCTTTTATCAGTTGCAAGTTTTATTATATACAACAGTCAACAGCACAATTTCTGCTAAAATGCTAACTAATCCAACGGCTACTAAACATCTGACGCTGCACAGTCCTGCCTTTTGCTTCCCATAATTTCATTTCCTATAAACCCTCCTAATTTTTTTTTGCCGTGGTCTAATTTTGTTACAAAATAATGGGAAAATACTGTATCTTTTAACGTTTGTCTCTTCTGCCATGCAATTTTAGCTTAGAGTGTGATCACTGAATACTAATCATATAAACTCCCGGTGAAACTGAAAAATATAAGAACGTATAAAACATATTAAATCATAAAAATATGCTATATCAAAAACATTTGCTCAAAAAAAAAATGCTATATCAAAAACATCTCTTACTCTCTCTCTATGCAGCTATGAGTGTATAATTATTGGAACATAGATTTACACTTTTATTCAATTATTTTAATTTGATTCGCTGCAAATGCATATGTCATCAGAGGTGACGATTACCAAGAAATAATGATCAGAGCTTTCATTTTAAAATCAGGACTTGTCTCAAAGAGTATAAACAAAAATTATCAGGGATTATAGTCTTCCACTTCTGATATGCATAATCAAACTTGAATAAACCAATCAATACACATTTATAACAAAACTATAATGTTGACATGATAGACTAAAAATATATATCTGAAAATGCTTATATTATATATAGATCAGCGATTTAAACCCCCAAAATACCTTCGTTTTTCCTTACATTAAAGAGAAAAACGTGAGTATTTTGGGTAAAATACACATGTTGATTGATTGATTACATAAGAAGAACAAGAAAATAAAATATAACGTGAATGAAAAACATCAAGAAACTGCTTTGACTAGTTATGGAGAGGATCTGGACCACTTGGTACCGTTCTTTTACCGTCACCGAACCCTTTTCCGGCGCCGAAGTACGTCTTCATCGGATCCTCTTGGTTATTAGCAGGAGCAAGAGAGGTAGCTGTCACCGACGTTTCTGGAAATACCCGAATTGCCCCTATCCGGGAATTTACAGAAAGGAGATAGAGTAGAGAAGAAAGGAAGATAACCATTAAAAGTGAGGAGCTTCTCCATTCTCGAGCATGAGTCATATCTCAAACCTAAACCCTAACATAAAGCTTGACTTCTTGATTAAACCTCAACCGTTGACTTCTCTGATCTCTCTCTTTCCTCTGTGGATTATATCTAACTTTTTGTAACTATTTTTGAAACTGAGAGAGAGAGAAAGACATAACGAGATTGAAGTGGAGTGGGAGTGGGAAGAGGAGTGGCTTTCATGCAAATTTTGAATGGGCCACGTGAATGGGTATTATATAAATAATTAAATACAAGACAAGATCTATAAATTTCTTAATTTATTTTTTAGTTTTATTACTATAGCTAGTACATATGCCACATATATCTAATTATGATAAATAGTTGTATAGTACTACTATTGGTGTGCAATTGTGTGTATATATATATTTAAGTGTGAGCATATATGATCTTGTAGGAATTGACAAGAATTAGGTACTTAGATCCATAATCAGATTTCGTTTCTTGATTTACATGTAAGAGCATTTGTTGTTTCTTAAAGAGCCTCACCAGTTATAAGAAATAGAAATAATGAAAAGTAAATTTTTGGTCAAAATAATGAAAAGAGTCTCAAATTTTTAAAAATTCTTAAAAGTATTTCCCAACTAACCCTCCCAGAGTTAATTTAAAAGAAAAGTGATGATATATGATTTGATAATTAATAAAAGTAACACAGATCTATAATTTAGGTTACAAATTAAATAATTTGCCTATTTTATTTTTTTATTTTTAATATTTATTATTTATAAATCATATATCATATTGTGTACCTATCTATCAAGTTCCAGTATGCATAAATTTAAATGATATCGTAATTTTCATCAAAAAATAATATCGTAGTATTATTGTATAGCTGATATTTGTTAAGATTAGCCGATTAATTTTAAATGGAAATAAATTTATTTTAAATAATAGTATTTTCTTATATTAGAATTGAATGACAATACATTTTAACTTTGTTAAAAGAATTTATATTTCATATCATCACCATACCATTTCTTATTTTTTGACTTTCGCCATCAGATTATGGATTCACACTATATTTCATTATCATCAAAGCTGATAGATTTTCTTAATATTCAACAAGAACTATTAATATTCCTAGTAAATGATTAATATACTTAATACTAACTACAATATGTGTAACTATAACTAATTTATATTGTAACTATATTTATGATATAAGTGAATATTTTTAGTATATTAAAGAACTATCTTTTTTTTTTAATAACTGAGATGTGATTATATTAAAGAACTATCTTATAATTTAAAATACACTTTTAATCAAACTGTTTTAAAAATGTTAATACAGTAGAAAATATCAATTCTATTACTGAGAACTTAAGTGGAAGTCTTGGAGTTAAAATTAGGACGAGTTTTCAAAACTAGACAATAATTAAAATTAATATTAAGGTAAGGAAAGTACTCTTCTATAGATTATGTTTTTTTTGTTCATTGTTGGAAAAAAGTTAGGAAATAACAATAGATATCTTGAGAATGTTAACGCTCTAACACCTTTTAATATATGTACATGTACTCTTCAGACCCACGAGAAAACATAAATCTCAACAAATCAGTAAATGTTCCCCCACCAATGTACTTACCATTTTGTATGAATTTCAAAACGTTGTTGTTTTTGAATTGCTTTACATAGACGTACATAGAATTGAGGCTCAGTTTTGAACAATTGATATAATAATTAGGTGCTGTATATAATGATAAAAGATAGTTCTTCATAGTTCTTAACATGGCATATACCAACTAAACTGTGATGAATGTGAATATGTAAAAAGGTGTGTCACAGACTCACAGTTTTTACTTGCAGCAGAACTATAACATTACACAGGTAACGGACAGAGAGAATGATGTATTATAAATGTAAATCCATTCGGTGAAAGGAATTATCACATAAGATTTTCGTTGGTAATACGTATAATTGCTACGAAAATTTAAATAACACAGAAGAAAACTACATATAATATAATGTAAGATAGTGTGACGTATAGTGAATACACTACAAGAAAAGTGTGCCGACTCCGATGAAATTTTCCGAGAATCGTTTTTGTCAGAAATGTATAGACAGACTTTCGATAAATTCCCGAGAACGTAAGGAAGTTGTCGGAATCATCTCAGAAATTTCCGATGTAAACCTGTTGCCGGAAGATTCTCGGAACTTCTTGTCGGAAATTTCTCACTAAAGTACATTTACCGACAATTTTATTTATTCTCGGTCAAGTGTCAAAAATAATTATAGATCTTATCGGAGCTTTCTCGGTAACGAACGTGAACAGTGACCGTCAATATTTTTCATTTTTTGTCAACATTAACCGTGAAAATTTATTTGATTTTTTGATTATTTCCGTCAAGTTCTTCTCTGTTTTCCTTCATGTTCTTATTCTTCTCCTGCAAAATTTTCCTTTTTCAGATCTTTCATTAACTTCATCAAATCTTCCTTATACTTCGATATTTCTTTAATTTCTTTTGCTTCATGGTTTATAGGTTCCTTCCTCTTACATCCGATAATTGCATTAACTTCTGAGATCTCAGTCTTCTTTTTTCTTCCTTACGCCTTAATTTTCTTCTCTTCGCCTTCATATTATTTGATTTAATGATTTTCTTCTCATCTCTTTGTTTCAGATCCAACATTTTGGAGAAGACCATCAAGGATTTATTGATGACGTGTAACTGGACACCAGGGGCGGACTCATTTGAAAGGGTGTGGGGTCAACTGACACCACAAAAATCCTATAAAGTTCAGTTTATAGGCAATTTTTTACTAATGAACTGTGATGCAGTGGTAGGAAAGTGCATTATTGAACCCACAGATAAATGGTTCGATTCCACCCACTGACATCTTATTTTGCTTTTTTAAAATTTACACAGTTAATGACCCCATAAATATTTCTGGCTGGATCCGCCACTGCTGGACACCATCGTTTCTTTCTGCCACAACCGCCGTAGCTCCTTTCACCTACGATGATGTTTAACTGGACACCATCGTTTCTTTCCGCCACCACCGCCGTAGCTCCTTCCACCGACACATTATATTCACTTTTATTTTTTTTGGTAGGAACATTATATTCACTTTTATTTGTTGGCTGTAATATATTAATGGATTTAAACTATTTTCTTTTTTATTTATAATTTCGTTTTTTGCATTTATTTTTTTTTAATTAAATTTTTAAAGTTTGTCGGAATCACGTCACTAACTACCGACGACTTTTCCGAGAACACATATTCTCGGCCATTTCCGAGAACTCACCGACAACATAGTATTTCCGACCGTCAAACGCCGACGTATTGAAGTTTCTCGGAAAAATGTCGGAGATGACGTTTTCCAATAATGTTCCGACAAACTTGAGTGTCGGAATTAAGACCTCTTTCTTGTAGTGATACGATTAGTCTTGTTGTCCATCCAATACGACGCAGAAATATGTTAGTTTGGATCTTTGAGATGAGTTTGAGAAAAGAGTGTCGTCTTATTAACTGAACTTTGCCGTTTTGTGTTTGTTCGTTTCCCTCTTTACTTTCTTTTGTTTTGAACCTTTTTTCTTCTTTACTTTGGTCTCTTCTTCTTGCCTTCTTCTCCTTCTTCCTCTTCGTGTCAGAAACAGAAGATCCCATCATCATTATGCGACTGCAAAGTGTCTTAATTTGTAATTACACATATTTAATCCAAACTAATATAAAATAAAGTTAAAGAAAACAATTCTTACAATATATCACGTGAATAAGAAATTTGTGGTTAATATACACGCAGGAAGAATCGACAAATTAGATACATATTACTAAAACGGTTGTAATTGTGTTGTGTTTAAGCTTAATCCGGCACACCAACAGTTGAACCGGATCGGTTTGGTTTGTGAGTAGACGACGAGGAGACAACTGACTTGGATGTAAACACTAAGGTTCACATATAGTAGCGACCACAAAAAAAAATGCTCCTACAATGAGTATGCCTTTCCTCAATGATTCACACACGAAAATGCAGCTAGCTTTCAGATACTTTGTGTTGTATGTGTTCTTAGTTGCACCGGCTATGAGATAAAGAATCTGCTATAAGAAACGTGATCCTGCTAAATTGCCAATAAGTAAATTTGTTGAGATTTTCTTTCTTAAGGAAGAGAGCTTATACGAATAACTTCAAATCAACCTAAACTATTTCAAGAAAATTTCTCAAGAGAGACTATTAGAATCTTCAATACACATTTACCGCAAGGTTGCAATACTAAAATACAAAACATTTGTAAACAATTAATGTTGGTGGATAATTTTGACGAAGAAGAGATTTGGAGACCCAATTAAGCTAAGAGATGGCACATGACTATCTTTTATTCTTCTTGTGTACTGATAGAAAATTTCTGTTACAAACATTTGTTGCATTTTGTACTCATGAAGAAATATCATGGCGTCTATTTTCTATATTAATGTCAATAGTTATTTTTTTTTTTTGCAAGAATCTCAGTGAGATTCTTGCAATCTACCTGAAAGGAGAGCGGGGTTTCAAAACATGCTATTGAACAACTCCACTATTCAGTTTGATATTTGATAATGTTATTTGGGCTTTTATGATTCATGTTTAAGCTATGTTATGAATGAGAAAGGCTACTAAGCCAATGGGCTAGGACCCTGTAAAACATTTTTAATTTTCCTGCCATTCTATAATTAAAAATTTGAAACCGTTATTACTTTGTCAAATAAACCATTTCATGCTTGCTAAAAATTTGAAAACCAAAAAATTAGTCAAAGTTGAGTTTATCACTTGAAGAAAAAATCCAAGAAAACATCATTTTCAAAATTTTAAAAACGTATTAATAGTTACAAAGAAAGCATGAACGTGGACAGGAAACTTTGTAACGTTGTAATGTCTGTGACTGGTCACGAATCACTGAACAAATTGCCAATCTTGTTGTCTTCTCAATGACTTAATTTTCTCCTCTCCCACGATTATTATTGCTAAAATAATTATAAATTAGAAAGAAAGAAATAAAAAGAGTAAAGTAGCCGCCTCACCTTCATCGTCTCGTCTCGTTGGCTCTCTCTCTCTATGGGAAGCCCGATTTAGGGTTTCATTCATCGAATTTCACCATCACCACAAAACCTCTAGACTCATCCTGTAAGTCCCATCTTCACCGTCTCTACCTTCCTTCCATTTATATCTGATCTACAAAAAGTTGGAACCTTTATTATGAAGTAACAAACTTTTAGAATCTTTATAGACTTTTCTTTACTCATGTTTATGAAAAGACCAAACCTTTTTAAGATCTGTCTTGTTGTGAGGTGTTTACAGGTTTTAAAGACACTTTTTTTTTTAATTGTGTTTTTTGTTTTAGAGTATTATGCCTAAAGAGAGGAAAGACCGTTCTGTATCTCATGAAAAGTTAAAAGCATCTCCTTTGTATTGTGAGTCAAGCCGTGATTTAAAGAAGCCAAGTGAGAAAGAAGTTAAGGAATGGGAAGAAGCTCGATGTCCTGTCTGTATGGAACATCCTCACAACGGCATCCTTCTCATTTGTTCTTCCTTTGATAAAGGTTGTCGTCCTTACATGTGTGACACTAGCCACCGTCATTCCAACTGTTTCGATCAGTACCGTAAAGCTTCTAAACAGACACAAACTGTGTCTGAAAACGGTGTAGGTTTAGAGTCAAGAGAAGAGGTTGTGTCTGAGGTTACAGTAAGAGAAGATGAGAGAGAAGTAGAAGAAGAAGAGAAAACGAAACCGAAGCTTACTTGTCCGTTATGCCGTGGACATATAAAAGAATGGGTAGCGGTTGAAGATGCTAGAGGTTTCATGAACGCGAAACTTAGAACCTGTTCTTCTGAGAGTTGTGAGTTCAGTGGAACTTACTCTGATCTGAGGAAGCACGCGAGGCTTAAGCATCCAGGAGTTAGGCCATCGGAAGCTGATCCTGAGAGGCAGAGAAGCTGGAGGAGGTTAGAGAGGCAGAGAGATTTAGGTGACTTGCTTAGCACACTTCAATCTTCTTTTGGAGGTGAAGAAAGAAGCAGCAACGAGAATGATGGTATTCTGTCGTTTGATGATGGTGGTTGGCTTACAGTGTTCTTCCTCATCCGTGTGTTTAGACCAGAATCCTCAAGGAGTAGTAGCTGGTCAGGTACGTCTAGAGCTAGGTCACATATTGGTGTGAGGAGAAGATCTTCAAGGCTTTGGGGAGAGAGCTATGAAGGTGGTGATACGGGGACATCGTCTAGAGATGAAGAGAATAATCAGTCTTCTGATGAACATGAGTCTAGACGACGTGTCCGAAGAAGAGCTTTCATTGCTGATGATGATGATGATGAGGAAGAACCATGATGGCTCTCGCAGAATCTACACTTTGGTGTTTGGATATGGTTTGGAAACTTTGTAGTAATAATGAAATACAATTCTGTAAAATTTCGTTGGAGATTGAGAAAAAAGTTTTTATTGAAAAAACAAAATCATTCAATAATAATTTATACCATTTTACAACAATGAAGAGATTGAAAATGAACATTTTAAGTAGAAGTTGCTGGCTCTAAAGCTGCTGCTGCTTCAGCTCTCTTCTTAGCAAAGTATTCATCAGCACGTGCAAGGTTCTTAGCAACAGATGGCTTCACCCATTTCTTTCTTCCGGGCAACACAGTGAGTGCACAACCTGAAGCTTCAAGCTTCTCTTTAGCTGATGTTGAGAACGCACGAGCTTTGAAGGTGAGCTTCACGCTTAGTTCTCCAGTACCTAGAATCTAAAATCCAAGAAAGAATATGCAAATAGGATTTTAATAAGGACCATATTTGTTTTTTCTTTCTCTCTAAGGTACACTACTAACCTTAAGAGAGAGTTTCCTTTCCCTTCCAGAAGGATTGATCAAACCCTTTTGCTTCAATGTCTCTAGTGACACTTCATCTCCATCTTCAAAACCAGCTGTTTCAATGTCTTTGAGATTAACTGGAACGTACTTGGGTAAACCTAAACGCATACCTACTCAAATAACACGATTCCTGCATCAGAAAACTAAAATAAAATCTCTATACCACTAAACTACTGAAACTTGCCTTTGTGGCAACAACACATCTTAACTAAACCATCACATCAATGAAGCTTAAACAAAGCCTCTCTCTCTTTGAGACATTTCATCGAACACTTAAAGTTGGACACTTTTTTTGTTGTTGTTGTTGTCGTACCTCCGGCGATTCCACGAAGTTTGGGAAGACGGCGATAAAGAGCAGTTTGACCACCTTCAAAGCCTCTCATGATTCCAGGACCAGACCGTGACTTCTGTCCTCTCATACCGAAACCACAACTAGCTCCTTGTCCTGCAGAGATACCTCTTCCTTTTCTTTTAGCCCTCTTCCGAGAACCAGGTTGTGGTCCCAGATTATCCAGACGGAACCTCTCTGCTTCCGGAGAAGAAGAAGAAGACACAACAAGGGGTCTCGGTTGTAGTTTGAGAGAGAGAATCTGAGATGGGTTTGCTCCTAAGACGCTTACATTTCCCTTAAATGAAGTGGAAGGGAAGTAAAGACGGTGGCATTGGCGGGAGATTAGAGGATTTGATGAGATTGAGAGAGGAACAGCCATGGGGGGGCACACAACAGATGATGGAAGCTTCTTCTCAATAGCTTTAATGATATGGATGCCGATGGGGTAAAACGGCGCCGGATTACGCATAGCATTTAATTGTATATTGGGCCTTTGTGGCCCTTTATTATTTGCTGATAATGATATTCATGCTCTTTGGTTGAGATTTCAGTTTTGATTCTTTTAGTTTTGCTCAGAAACAACAAAAAAAAAAAGAGCAAACACGGAACGCAGCATGCATGATGCATGATGCATGATGCATGATGCATGATGCATGATGCATGATGCATGATGCATGATGCATGATGCATGATGCATGATGCATGATGCATGATGCATGATGCATGATGCATGATGCATGATGCATGATGCATGATGCATGATGCATGATGCATGATGCTCACAAGTCAGTCACATATATGCAATTACACATGTTAACGTAAACGTAAAATACAAAATCGAACGAAAGTGTAAATGTTTTTTTTTTTTGAAAAATCGAAAGTGTAAATGGTAAAAGCAAATAGAAGATATTAATGTGAATGTGGGTTAAGCACACATTTAGATTGAATATCACCATGTTTCATCAGGGTTTTAAATGTATTCCGGTTAATACC